ATATAGTAGAATATAATAATAATAATAATAACAATATAATATAATATAAATATAAATATAATTATATTATATAAAATATAATATAATATAATATAATAATAAATATATATATATATATAATATAATATATAACTATATAACTATATATATATAATATTATCACATTAAGTAATATATAATATATAAATATATAAGTAATCACAAGATACATATGAGTTGAAAGTAAAGCAACTGTTTTCTTAAATAACCTAGTCAGTTTCGTTATGAATGCATAAAATCCGCAGTCCATTGATAACAATCGAATCAAATTTTGTTTCGACTTCGAAGAAATGAATTGCATTCAGATTTCGTGGATTATCTGTAAAATCTTCGTCACGTGTCATTGTTCTAGTACAGAGTGGTTAAGCTACATTTTCGAAGATTTCCATTCAAGCGTTGACTTATAAAACTTATTAACCATTACTGACTTAACTTTAAAGTAACTTGGTTATAAATTATCTGAACGATAAATTTAGTAAATAATATACTCGTTAGTAAACATTAACGTTCCTTGTTTCTTGCGATGAGGAACATGTGACTTACGCCGCTGTAACTTTGACGCCGTCGATGGAAATTTTATTATGATACGATACGTGAAATTGCTAATGATATGACATATGGTATTGATAATGATGTCGCTAATGAAGTAGCTAATGATATTGCTAATGATATTCCTAATAAATTATTGAATGGCTACGCAAACTGTTCAGAAAATGTCGAATCTGCCATTTGCATTGCAGAGACTATGCCGGATAGAATTGTTTAAAATGTAAACACTTGCTGCATACATATCGATTCGATTGTAGTACCGTCATTGAAACAATATTTTAAATTTGTTACTATACGTCGTGCTATCGGTTGATTATTAACAATCAAATTATGCAAATTACTCGATTAACAAAAGTGAAAAACAATAGTGTGAGAATGTATAATAACAAGGAACAATGATTTGGTTTATTAAGAGAAGAAACATTTCAATTTAGGGTCTATTGCTTGATATTCAGTAGCATGAGATTGATTATGGTCGGACGCTACGAACGCCTCGAAAATGAGCACCATTCGGACCGCTGGAACGCCTTGTGCAGATGTCTCAGGGGAATGCTACACGTTTCGCATGCAATTATACATCGCATAAATGAGCCGCACTCCGATTCAATCAAGTCTATCGAAACTGAGAACTGTCTAACATACATTTCTGAAATTATAAAATTATATGAATAAAAAATATTCTATATTTGTGTCACTCTATATATGTATATACCCTATATATGACATCGCATAAATGAGCCGCACTCCGATTCAATCAAGTCTATCTAAACTGAGAACTGTCTAACATACATTTCTGAAATTATAAAATTATATAAATAAAAAATATTCAATATTTGTGTGTCACTCTCTATATATATACTCTATATATACACATCTCGCATAAATGAGCCGCACTCCGGTTCAATCAACTCTATCGAAACTGAGAACTGTCTAACGTTCATTGCTGAAATTATAAAATTACATAAATAAAAAATATTCAATATTTGTGTCACTCTATCGAGATAGATATTCGTGTTTCTAAGGAGAACAATTCGAAGAATATCTAATTATTTATAACTCGCAGAGAATATAGTTTACCAGAATAATTTACAGACGATGAAAATACGCTTGACAATGTCTTTACAATGTTTAAACAGTCGAACTTGGTAATAAGCCGGCTAGCAGCTAATTTACGAACTCGATTACGTGATTTTCATTCTGTTGGTTCCTTGAAATTCGTTGAGACATATATATTTCAATATTTACCAAAGGAAAATATTTACCGAGGAACAGAATTCGACATCGCAGGAAGCGACGGTTCATCTAATTAACAGTAATAATCCTTTCATTTTTGGAACCGAAACCCATCATCTAGAATTCCCGCTCTGTTCCGATATTTACCGTGCCGCTATACATCTACCTGCGGCATCAACGGAAATATAATATCAATTAATTATGTCTGTCGGATTCGGGTGAAAAATTACCGACGGCCATTGTAACGGGGGACATGGCGAAATGAACCGTGAATTGAATTGCAGACGATTTTGACAGCCCTGCTTTATCGGCACAATTATTACTCTGAAATTTCAGCCTTTCCCCCGTCAGCCGCGTATTTTCCATGAAAATGAAAATTAATTCTACATCCGCTTTTTTCGGGCATTATCGTACCGGGGATTTCAATTCCTAATATCGATCAAGCAAACGTGCGATACGCTCGTATGCGGAAAAATGTCATTTTAATTCTTTAAAATTGTCCCAACACAGAAGCCTTCGATGTAACAATTAATAAATAAGTTTGCAGTTTTATTCGATCCGCACGATTTATATAGAACGATGACGTTTAAACGAAAATATTAATAACGTGACGAATGCTCTTTTGTCTTTTTACCGCGAATAATTATAGAGGTTTATTTCATTAATTATTAGATTAAGGTTTCATAGGTTTCATCTGGTCATGTTCGTACTAATTAACTTTATTATACATATACATAATTAGTTCATGTTACTAACAAATTGTAATGTAAATTGATCCTTCTTGCCACATATTGTATAATAACGCTAGAGGTCGACTTCTATAGCATGTTTTAATTATGATGAGTAAGTGAAATAGTTTGTTTTAGTTTTAGTTGAAATAGTTTAGTTTTAATGTTTAGCTTCATTCAGAATTTGTTCGACTACAAGATTTAAAAAATATTATCAGAGCTATTTGATCTTACTGATACAGTATTCCATTGGTACACTACCACTAAGGTACTGAATAATTATTTATTCGAAACATTAAAATTAACAAACCTTTTCGATGCAACATTTGGAGAAAAGTTAATTGTAAGAAGTAACATGGGAGACTTATATCGATAAATTATGAAAAAAGAACACTTTACATTCTATCGGTTTCATTCAAATCGATCGCTTATTTTGTGTATGAATTATTGCAGGAATAAATTCGTATTCAAATAAAATCCTATTCGAACGAATTCTTATTTGAATAAAATCTTATTCGGACAAACTTTCATCTAGACAAATTTGTATTCGATTGGATACTCGTTCGATACTGTCGAATGAAATTTTATTCGTCAGTCTTTATCACTTATCCGTCATTTGAATAAAATTTTGCCCAAGATGATACAATCAATTCTCCCTAATCGATCCCCCTCGCAAACTGTCCATTTTTCTGCACAAACCGAGCGTCAATTAGGGAGAATTTACTGTAATTCTAATATCCGGATGCATAATTGAAAGACACGAGATAACAGCGAGAATTGGGTAATAATATCACATAACAATAAGAAATTCTCTGGTGCAAACAGGCTGCGGAAGGAGACAGCCGGCGGTGCTTGGTGTCCGAAGAACCAAATAGAACGCGGGATTCGCGAGTGGCTCCAAGTGGATCTTCCAGGGACCCACGTGATCACCGGTGTACAGAGTCAGGGTCGTTACGATCACGGCCGTGGCCAGGAATACGTCGAGGAGTATACCCTCGAGTATCGGCGTCCCGGGTTCACCGAGTGGCGGCGATATAAACGCTGGGATAACAAGGAGGTACGTGATCGCGGCGTTTGTTGACAGTGTCGAAGAAGTCAAGTAAGTCAAGTCGGACGATGCCGAATAACGTGGCCGCAATCAAGCGGCGTCCCCCTTTATTTTCCCTTCGCGGATTAGCCCGTCCCGCATGCCTACGATACCCGAGCCCGCTGATATTTACTGGGTCAGAACCGGCCCCGAGTGAAACTGACACGAGCGAAAAATATTAGGTCTACCGGAAAGTTCTGTCCGATCACGGTCCGATCACGGATTCTGTCACTTCAAGTTTCAATCCATATGCATTGTATCCGAGGCTACAATTGTTTAAGATACTAGTCAATTTCCAAATCCGCCAATTATAAAAGCTATAACTATGACAAAACTTATAATAAATGCATCAGAGGTAACAACAGGATTATAAATTTATTCATTGCAAATTCATCCTCTTGGAGCTCTCAATTCTATTCGAATAATCATACTCTTAGTGAGGCACCTAGAGTACCGGATCATATTGCAAAGATAAAATATAATATACCAATATTTTTATGGTTCGTTGAATAATATATTAGGTCTACCGGAAAGTTCTGTCCGACAGTGTCACTTCGAGTTTCAATCCATATGCACATGTTGATTCGAGACATATATGACTGTCTCTCTTTATCATTGCATTTACACGCATGTACTCTCCTAAATAAACTGAAACGAAGATGTCTCATGTCATTATTAAGCGAGACGCGATCGTGAAAACATGGCCACCGATGATAATGCCAGACCACATGCTGCTTTGGCGACTCGTCAGAAAATCGCAGAGCTAGGCTGGGAAATTCTGTCGCATCCACCATACTCCCCAGACCTAGCACCCTCCGATTATCACTTGTTTCTCTCTTTGCAAAACTTTTTACAGGAAAA